ACATATCACATGTTATTTCCAGCTGTGAAGATTACTTCACTTGTGGTTATCCGAGGGAGAAATCACCTGAGAGATCAGATGATTCACTGGAATGCCAAGCTTCTAAAAATTCTCTAGCATTCTTGTTGTTTCCTCTCCTCTCCCAACCAGAGAATTAGAGACTTTGTTCTGCAACTCCAAATACAAGCTTCAAAGTGTAACTTTGGAGATCAGCTGTATACACAACTACGTGATCGTCTAATTGCTGGAATCAATATTCCTAAGTTAGAGAAAGAGTTAATTCAGATTCCTTCTTGTACTTTTCAAACTGCTAAAGATTTATGTATTACATATGAAGATGTCAATAATGAATACTCTGCTCCCACTACGTCAGTGTCTGATGTCATGCTTTCCAAAGTCGAAAATACAAGTGGTCATGGAAAGCAATCCAAACTGCCATCCACAGGTAATAGAATGCAGCGAGAGATCAAAAACATTAAACCGTGTTTTTCCTGTGGAAAGTTACATCTACGAAGCACTTGCCGTTTTCGGGGTGCTAAGTGCCATAAATGTGGTAAAGTTGGACACATCAAGACTGTTTGCAGAAGTTCGAATACTTATGTTGCTCAACATTCTTATAATTCTCCCAATCTGTCTAGTAAAATGGAGTCAATGTGTCTTTCAACCTTTCAAAATACTCAAGCTAATCCAATGAAAACCTCCACTACAAGTTCAGCAACTCAAGCATCAACTGTTTTCAAAAATGAGGTAGCTGAGTTACAATGCGAACTGTCGAAAACACGAAAAGACCTGAATGAGATGAGAGAGCAACTGATTAAAATGGAGGAATTACTGCATATGCATAGACTGCGTCTGTTGAATGCAGAGCATACAAGTACCCGTGAAGGTCCTGCAAAACTTTTCAAATCTCGAATTCTCAAAAAGCATCTGATGTCCACGACTTCTAATGTACATTATTACAAAGGTAATAACTATAGACCTTCTGTTGGAATTATACTACAAAAAATGGGAAATCGAGTGGTGAAGATATTAGACATCAAAGATCACTCAGTTCATAACAGACACCTGGACAAAGTAACAATAAATGAAGTAGGTCGTTCCAATTATTATTTTAATGATTCCGCTAATAATCCTGATTTTGTAGATAATTCAGAAATAAGTCCAGATAATACTGATGAAAATAATATCACAGAATCAGTTAGGTCGAAGCTACTTGCAAGCAAACCGAGACATCGTTATAAATACGCAAGGAGACATTCGACGTGTGGCGGATGTGGTGATTGACAATTTCTATCTCTGTATTGTTTAAATACTTACTGTTGACTGTTGATATGTTTCTTATATGAATTGCATAATAATTCCGCTAAATACAAATTCCTGAGTTCTGCCCTCTCTGTGTTTTGTTTGGATTCTTGTAATTCGGTCATCTCGAAATACTAATATTACGATTACAATAAATTACTACAATTTTCCAAATTTCCATTATGAGTGATGAGCCATTCCCACTGCATGTGTTGTGAATAGATTCAATGAAGAATGCTCAGTAATCAACCTCTCTCTCCACTCACCTATATTACTTTCTAGAATTTTGACTTTGTCAAGCGTATTGTGTGGTAATACATACTGAGGTTTTTTCTTAATATCTTATCTTCTTGGATGGGGTTAAACATTCTAATATTAGCTAAATTCTTACGCTTCGATAATCTGACTTCCTCTGATCTACTAGTTTGACCTATGTAGTTGACCTAACTCACAGTCATTGCAAAGTATTATCTAAATGACATTATTTTGTCTAATTGGGTTAACCTACAGGGTCCTTAAATTTACCTACAGAACTTGTCTTACCTGAGTGAGTTTGTAAGTTTAAATGAAACTTTAATTTCTGCTCTATTAAGAGTCGTACGTAGTGAGGGTCTCGTATTTCCCCCCCTCATATGGTAAAACTACTGAAGATTTCTTGTACTCCGTCTTATTTATGTTCTCATCATTAGTTTCATCGTAATTTTTATTGTGACCTTTCTTGATCTTCCTGATGAATTTTATACGATAGTTAGTTATTTACACCAACGCTGCTTCTGTCTGTTTTATTTTAATATTTGGGTCTCTATTTGTACTACTTAGTGCTATTGCTCGATTCATTGGACACTTAACTAGGCCTGCCTTTACACATAACAGATAAGTTGAATTGAAGTCTAAATATCTATTAGAATGCGTTGGTTGTTCTATAAACACTAGTGTGCAGTCTGCCTTCTCTTATTCGTTTTGTTTTACAATCTAACACAATGGCTTATTCTCCTCGTTTATTTTCCGATTCAAATGTGAATTTATGTGTGTCAAGAAGCTAGAGATACGTTCTGTTTTTGACACTGTGAAAGTGTCATCCACATATCTCGACCATATTTTTGGAGTGTGATTAAATGTGTCAAGAATAATATTTCCCCAGCTGTCCTCAGGGTTATCTGCCACGACATGGGATATGCGTGATCCATCCCATTGCTGCACCTTCTGTTGTCTGTATATTTTACTCTGGAATTAAAAGATAGTAGTGTGAGGCATATAGGAATTCCTAAAATAATTCCCTCAATGAGCGGTTTTCTTCGATGAAGCGAGCACAAAGAAATCAAATGGGTTTATACTAGCTCGTAAAAACGATATTGGATATTGGAGTGAGTTCAGTGAGTGAGTTCTTTGACACTGCCATACATCGCCAAGAAAATGATATTTTTCAGAAGTCAATTTACCGAAATCTGACGTGGAATGGACAATACTTAAATTCGAATAGTTTTTGTCCACAAAGCTATAAACGAGCATAAGTCAAGACTCTAGGAGAATATGCTTTCCAGAAGAACTAGTAGAAGCATTTACGTTTCTCGAAAAGGTGTTAAAATATACTGTTTACCCTCAAAGATTCATTAACAAATATGGAAGATGTGAAGGCTCAAAGATCAAACGAATCACAGCTGAAAAAGCTTTTCTTCATTCAACTAGATTTTGAAGGTGAAAAGATTGCAGCGACAGTCTACAGAAAACTGAGTACGTCACTACCAACAGTCAATCATGCAGTCAAGTTTGTTACTGTCTGTCGAACAACATGCTATTTGGTACAGTCACAAAACAACAGATACGCTTCTCATGCAAACTCCAACTGTGCACACAAATTTACGTGTATCTGCGGGAGCAGTTACATTGAGAGAACAGAAAGAAGAGCGCACCTCCGATTTCCCGAACATGCGCGTAAAAGCCTGCGTCTCAAGAAAAAGACTCTTATAATAGCACTATTACCAGACATCTCCTCGATACAAGTCATAGGATGTAAATGGCGAAATCTTTCCAATAATCAATAGAAAAAGGAGCTCGATTCTCCTGAAGTTTGCCGAAGAAATTTCTATCAAACGCTTAAGATCAGATTTATGCGTTCAGAAGGAATCAGTTATAAGTCTTGACTTGCCAACCCACTAACTGTATGTTTTATACTCTCTTTTTTCAGTTACGCAATCTTTCGACTTAGAAATCATCCCCCGCCTTTTATAATTTGTATTAATGCTTTTCTCTTGTTTTTATGATTTGAGTTGAACTCAGTACATTGTTACCTAATTATTAGTCACTCAGCAACTTATTCATCTCTCGTCAATAAGATCACATCTGAAATTTATCTTCAACTACTGTCGTAGAACGCCTATATTAAGCCCAACTTTGCGCTTATAAAAATTATTCACGTAATCATGTTATACGCTTGCAGAAACCAATTCCACGTATGCTCGTTCAATATTTGCCATTGTATTATTGAATATCGCTTTACGTTTGTTATATGACTATATATTTTAAGCAATTGTGGATTATTTGTGTTCTCCCCCCGCATTTAGAAATTTGATTTCGTTGACAGTGCATCTTTTCAAACTTTCATTGGAGCTTCTTATATATCATTGTTCGCCTTTCGCCGAGTGCAGAGTTAGCACATAGTAGAACGTGAATACGCCGAAGTACTATGGTATCATAATCGGAATTATAATACGTGTACCAGGCTGTTTCCCCAAGAAACAAGATTCATTGATGATTTAAACATTTTGTGTAGTGGAAAGGTAGACGTGATGTCCATTCGAAGACGGATGATGACAGTGAGAAAAATCCATTGAAAAGAAGAATATATTTTAACTGACAGAAACTGCATTACAAGAAGTGAGTGCATCAAATGAAAAGTGAGTGAGACATTATCATCATGAATATGATTCCCATCCAACTGGTGTCACAAAAGTTCAATACTACACCTAATAATGATAATCTTCATCGTCATCTTCATGATAACCATCTTCATGATCGTCATCTTCATCATCACCGTCTTCGTCATCACCATCTTCATCATCATTATCATCATAATAATCGTCAACATGATCGTTCCCATTAGAATCGATGTGGATAATATGTGTGTCAACTTTAGCGTTTCGAACTATTTTGTAATCAGGAATGATGAATTCTGCTGGACACAAGATTTGAAACTTAATTTCCCCCCTTAGTAATCGCTCATCTTTCACATAATCATCAGGATTAAATTCCTCTAGTTGACTAGCGTATTCTGATGGACAGTTGACGAGTGATGACGCTTCATTGAAACAGAATACTACCTCGTGTAAGTAAACACTCCCGACCTACATACACAATGTGAAATGATCAATAAGAAAGAGAATCGTGTTAACTAGATAGTTACAAAAGCGAAGATTCGTCACTCGAAATGTGTCACCAACTTCAACCTACACTCATTTCTGAATTCTAAACACACAAGCTCAAGATAATTAAAGCCTGATTTCTTCGACTGGTGTCAGAAGCCACTGACGTGAATTCTGGTCGTGTTTGGCGAAATCAAGAGATTTGCAAATCCGATCGATTCACATCTATTCAACGACCTACACAGCGTATATTATTTATGAATAGATGAAATAGATCGAAAGTATAGTGACATGATGAAATATTTGGAAATATATGTGCATAGGAAAGACATAACTCACCTCACTCTCTGCACAGATCAGCTTGGGTTGTACACCGAATGTCTTCAACAGCTCGCCTTCCACTTTTGCAGTCTACATGAATAAAGTGGATGAATGTAGTTTGTGAATTTGTGTGATTATTCAATCTTGAGTGCTCTTAATTAGGATGAATTTGTGTGATGGACAAATTGAATGTCAACTTACCGAATGAACCTTCTTCTCTAATATGCTATGGAGATTTTCGACGTTACTGAAATGAAGGGGATTGTGTGTTAATGGTCGAATGAGAAAAATAACATCAAGAAATATGTTGCTGCGTCTGTATTGTCTCGACGTAGAATGATAACACAGAAACTCCTTGACACATTCCTCGACCCAGTAGTTCAAGTGATGAATCGAATCTGAATCAGGACATTGACTCAATTATCCTGACCATGGTAATAACATCCTGTTTATCACAATACGTTCACCAGCAGAAACCTACGTGTCTAGTCAAGTCCAGTCCAGTCTCTACTTAGATCAGTCCACAACTGAGTACAACATACAGTATACATGGTAATGAAGGTGAGTATAGACACTGTGATTTTTGGACGTAAGATCACTGTGAGGATGCACACTTTGTATCATGAGGAAACATGGATGAATGTGAGCTGGCGTGAATGAGGACTCAAAATCCACACAATAAACTGATTACTATAAATCGAACAGTAATAATAATAATAACCAAATTTAAAAAGAAACATGCGTCAACATACTTTGGTGTCATGAGTTGTTTGTAGAGATTAATACTATGATTGAAGTAGAGAATTGGAGTGGTTCCAGATTCATCCATAACTGTACAAGCTCCATAATCATAGTACACCCAGTAGCTGAAATATGAGATTTGTTTAAGAGAAATAATCAAAATGCACGAGAACAGCTTTAGTATTAGGAAATCCTGCCGCTGTTAGATTGTCACCAACACCGCTAAAAACCAACAAAAACAACAACAAACAAACAGGCAGATACACATGAAAACACACATGGTGTTCAGCGACACTTTCGTTAACCATCCACACATTTTCAGACTAACTGATTTCGCTTCCCCGGAATCGGGATTTCGAAGTGTAGATGTGTCAAAAAGGCGATCACAAATCCCTCAGATGAATCATTATAAGCAAGAGATTGCCAGCACATACACATGCACACGCACTGCTTTGCTCTGATTAGTGAAAAATCACAGTAAAGTCCATAGAATGCATAATTGTGTGAAAGGCAATAGCAAAAGTGAGAGGTGACTCACTGTGCTAATAATTCATCAGTTGGATTAGTCCAGTAGGTATTCAGATCAGGTATTCTATACTGAAGATGAGAAGAAAAGGCGAGAGAAAATCAAGGTGGAATGGTTAAATAACGCTTAGTGTGTGCTGTGTCAGCTGCGGTTTCACAAGTCCTGCCAGTGGTGCAAGTTATGCGAGTAAATGAAATGGTGCAAGATGGTTCTGTGCGAAGAAAGAATATTTTGAAAGCACCAGCGTAAAATGTAAGTTTCGTCACTCACAATATCCTGCTCGAAGAAGTGGAGACCACTTGGACATGCGACGTCAACCCAGTCGAAATGAGGTGATGCTCTGAAATTGTGAAATAACTGAGTATTAGAACAAAAATTGTAGCAAATAATATTGATACACTGAAATCATCCTCGGGATAGAATCATCACTTCAGTCACACATCAATAAGCGATCATATGTGAAAGTGTACTTCAAACAAGTGTCCAACTAAATAACATGACATCATGCTATAACATCTTCAATCAGTTATCCCAGTTTCGTTGAAGAAAATTCTTCGAAATCGGATCAATATAAAAATTATATAATGTATACCGTAAGGAACATTTGCAAGGATTGATTGTAGGGGTGATATTTAGGCGAACTTTACAGACCACTGTGTAATCATTCAGAAACATCGTTGCAGTGCAGCCACTCACATATCCACTCACATTCATCTGTCTTCTTATGTCGGAGTGATTCGCCTTGCATTACACTGACTGCCTGAGTGATCACACCAACTGTGCACATTGATCAATATCAAATGTGCATTGTCGTCACGACACAAGTTGGTTAGTGTCGACCAATTCATCTTGTAAGTGCTGATGATCATCTTCTCTACTCTGTCCATGTTCACATCCCTAAGTGAAGCACTGACACATTTAAGAGAATACATACAACTCATTCATCGCATTAAGGGGAGCACAACACCTCTATGATATAGGAGGAGGTTTCAATGTACAAAAGACAAATTCACAGTAATCTCACCTCAATCTCGAAATATCCATAGTTATATGCTCTAAGACAGTACACTGAAAAACAAATTGAGATGTTTATTGGTCGAATGAAATTAATTTTACTGATGTGTACTGTCGACGTCAATCTGACATATGTGTGTGTGTTTGTAATGATTGTGCCACGAGTGTTCACGTAACTCGACATCAGTTTGTCATGATACGCCTCACTCACTGTCACTGATTAATGTTCCAGATATATGATTATGGTAACAAAGAAGGAGTTGTGCGTCAAGTAGGATTTGACGATTAATGCTCGTAAACCAGGTGAATGGAATGGACGTGATACATGCATATTTGGGTTCCCTCCACAGCAATTCACATCTGAACTCAGATGTTTGTATGTGTGATGTTGATTAAAGAACTCCAACCTCACTAAATGATTAATTGACGCACTAACATTCATCAATTGAGCCTGATAGGTCACTCACTGACACGAAACCGTGTGATCACATATGTGAATGCAAGCAAAGACTTATCGAGTGACTGAACAGTGTGCTTTTGTGATTCCATTATAGATAAGATTTTTATTTTGATAAATCGCACAGTGTTTACAGTTATATGAACTGATGACGTTTCGAGCACAATTTATTGCTCATAATCATATCAAGGTGATGTCTGCGATGCCAACAAACACTCTGAAGACGCGCCTCCGTGAGGGAGAATAGTCAACGAATCGAAAGGATGAAATGACAATAATAATAACAATCAACATGGTCACCACAAAAGTAGAAGCATGTATAAACGTACATATCTGTTGAGGCAGTGTGTTGGAAGCCAACGTAAATGAAGCATGTATGTCTTCGTGGCATTGGATTCAGCAACTACTGTGTGGATACACACAAGAAGACTGAGAATGAGGAGTCTGTAAGGAAAGGAAAGGAAGAGAATGAGAGAGACATGCAGATTATGACTAGAGTGAGTGTTTCAATGAGGTTTCCGAGCATTTCATGCTTGACGTAATGCTCGGAATACAAACGAAACAATAACTGTGCATGTCCAGTGACATACAAGGAGATGGTAAATGACTCATTTATGAATACGAGAAATCACATTGATCATGGTAACTCACTGCATAATGTAGACGTTCAAATCTGAGAGAAAAATAAACAGTCACTATTGGTTATCGTAATGAGAATAGAATCATTGAGAAAAGCGTTTCCATTTCAGACTGTTACATAGCTATTCATGTGTGCAAGTGAGTGGATTGCATTGTGAATGTGGAATCGACTTCGCCTTGGTTACTACAACAGACCGACTTGAACACAGTCAATGTTTCAGTAAGGCACATAATCGAGTCCCTTGTGTGTGTGTGTTTTCAATGGATGTTTTCAATTGACTGTATATCACACATCATGTTCATGTTGAATTAACTGCACTCACATTCATTGATCTGTGTGTATTCTCGTCGTCAACACCACTTGACAGTGAAACAAGCACACATGCATCTCACCGACTATCTTTGACCATGTAGGACAAATCAATGAGTGAGAAGTCTCTTTCCCCAAATGAGATTGAATACGAGTATTGTGTTGTTCAAGTACAGAATAATGCATCATGATAACAGCAAATAATATTGAAAACATCGTGGACTTACCTATACACAGATGTGGTCTACCCGTCTGCTCAAAACAATGAGTTGTCTGTGTGAATAGCCAGTCTATTTATACCTGATTCATCTGAAGTCTCTCAAATACAATTAGTGTTTTGCAAATTAATTTGGCACACGGATTATGAAAACAAGAAACTAATTGAAGTGCAGTACCATTCAATGGAATGTGAGTTGAGGTGACCTGAAGTGAAAGTATGCGGTCAAGATGATATTGTTTTTCATTCTGTTTTAGAATATTAGCTAAATGATAATTAGTGTAAGAAGTGAGTTGCTCTCATCATTTGTCTCTGTGTAATTTATCGTCAACTAGACGTTAGAGAAATGCGGTAGGTGGAGATCTCTTGTCTACTGAAACTCTGTGTCAAGTAGAAAACTCCTCCTCTCTTTATGTTGGGTTCTCAGAGTACAGTTTAACCATGGAGTTACATAGATCAGGATTATGTAGAGCAAATCCAAGATTTTTTTCCACATTATGAATATTTGCCGAACATAGTGTATATTTGTGATATTATTCGACTCATCGAAAATCGATTCACATGTGACTTTATATTTACTGTCTGTGTCCACACTGTGTGTCTGAAGGTTGACAGGTTCAGACAATAGTATGAGATTTCATACATTTATTCCCCTTAATGAATTTGAACAATGCAAGAACTACAGTTTTAGCAGAATAAAATGGTACCATCTTTTATTTCGTTGCCTTCTCGTCAGCTGCTTACATGGCAAAGACATTATTAAATATATCTACAACAACAATTTTAACATACTTGCACAGAGTTCAGTTTAAACAAAAAATCAATCGATCAATATACTCATACACTAAAAATATATACATATATAAATATGCAATATTAACCACTATTCCGAACAATAATAATCAAACACAATGGAAACTTTTAGCATTTCACATTCGGAGGAAAGAGAGGTGAAAATATCCAGTTACCAGGGCAAAGAAAGGCTGATAACCGCTTCTTTCTGGACGCATAAATCAGGTTTCATGCGCTTGATGGAAATGGCTTCAGCAAACTTAAGGAGAATGGAGCTATTTTGCTTATTGATAATTTTGAACGACTTTTCAACGTCCACCTCATGACCCGTGTCGAGAAGATGCCTGGTGATGGCACTATTTAAAGCATTTGTTACCTTTAGACGTAAGCTTTTTGGTACATGTTCAGAAAATCGTAGATATGCCCTTCTTTCTGTCCTTCCAATGTAACTGCTCCCGCAGATACATGTAAATTTGTATACACAGTATGTTAAAATTGTTGTTGTAGATATATTTAATAATGTCTTTGCCATGTAAGCAGCTGACGAGAAGGCAACGAAATAAAAGATGGTACCATTTTATTCTGCTAAAACTGTAGTTCTTGCATTGTTCAAATAGTATGAGAGTCTATTGTGGCCAACTTTTTCTTTTACTGTGTTATTCAGGTGTTCAGCCCTGTTTGTTTCTACTTACTGTATGTTCACAAAACAGATAACACCGCCTAATTTGCCAGTTCTCTAGCTTTCCAATCAATTCTAAGCCCGGGATAAGCTGGAAGGTTGTGAGATGAGGTTGTCTAATGAACATCCCTCGAAGGATCAATCTAGCAGCTGCCAAAACTTCAAAGCACAAAAAAAATACAAGAAAACAACAACTTACTCTTCCCTGGAATCAGAGAGGCGAAATGATGTGGTCTCGTGAAAGCCTTCGCGAAGCCAATCAGCCGATGCATATTCTTTCCAACTTTCCCGTCCATTTGATATAAATGCACGGATGTACAGCCTAGATGATGACTTCGTCGAAGAGATAATTTTCTTCGTTGAAATTGTCTTTTTTCTATAAAAGCGAAAGTAATCGTTGGAATTTCGAATGTTCGTAAATTGTATTAGGCTGAAAAGACCATCCTGGTAGCCATAGAAATGAGAAGAGAAAGCGCGAAAGTCCTAGGATTTTGCGAGAGCAGTGTCAACTGGAGAATCTACTCCGGTCAGCCAGGCGACTACCAACAGCACACTGAAGCAGTGAGTGCTTATCATGTTGTCACCAGTGGCAGAAAAGCTCAAATGCAGTGGGGAAGTCTCACATGGGATAATTACAGGAAAGTTCAACAGAATATGAAGGAATTTTACAGTCATCCAATGGAATGAAATTGCGACTCAAATTATTGCAAACCACGAGTTTCTCTTCAGAATACCAGCACTAATGGGCGGCTGTCTCTGTTTCGAGTCTATTCGAGATGAGTTATGGATAATTCGGAAACAACGGGACTGAAAATTATCCCAAAGCCAACCTGTCAATTTCCTGGTACAGCTGGTGATTTAACCGGAACTCAACATTCTCTGTACAAACGAGTGGTAAATTTCCTACTCCCTTCTCAGGCAGAGGAAGTAAATCAGACTGCTGGAAAGTGGTTCTCATCGTCTCATCAATGGGTATTCTAGTGAACAGTGAACAAATCATGCAAAATTGGAATCCTTGAATTCTACACCATCAGTGTTGTTATTGTTCCGTTTACCGACATTTACCTGATTGAATGAATACAGATTCGATAATCAACCTCTTTGGCCATATGCACATATCCTTTATTCAGTAATTTCACCATTTACACCCCCTTATGTGTGATTGACTATATGTGAGTGAATACATCGCAATGCCTTACTATTCTCCAAAGTAATTCATCTTAACGTGGTCAATAATTGCAGGCCTACAGAATTCCCTAACTCCCGACAATCTTCGAAGTTCAACTATGCAATTGACCTCACAGTGATTGCGTGAAAATCGGTATATAAATTGTACGGCATGTCTCGTAATTCCGTGTATTGGGTGCTTAGTTGACACAGTCTGTCTCTCATTGTGTTGTTTGTTTTGAAGGACACCCTAATTCCAGCTTGAATGAGAACCCCATTTAAGCCTTCTTATGTTTCTTCTTTATATGGAACTGTGATAGAGAAATTCAATGCCTGATTATCCCTATCAACTTCATTATTCACATTAAAACGCTTATTTTCCACAGAGGTCTTCATGCATAGATTTTTGAATGAAATCTGGTGTGTAGTTATCCACAGTTATTCTTGTTTGATTTCATCCTAGAAATCTTCTGACTTACGTGCTTGTCTGATAATTCGACTTCTCAGGCAACTAACTGAATCCTACTATGAAGATTTCGGGTGAAGTAATTTTATTATTATTATCAATATCAATATTTAATGATCTCAATCCGTGCTTAGAATATTTTGACTTTATATCGTGAGCGTGGACAAAATGTCCTCCGGTTACATTTCTTTTAATAACAAATTTTATATATATTTTAAGTAAATCAGATACAATATTGTGACAAATGCTGAGAATTCCATTCTATATTAAAAGTAATTTTTCTGGAATAAAGTAAAATAAATTATTAAAAAAATTAGTATTATTAGTATTATCTCACCAACAGAGAAATTTGCTGTATTCATGTGAAGTACATCCATTTGGAGCAAACATCTTGACTTAAAATGCAAACAGAGTGACTGATGTTCACTAGCCTACACGTTGCAGTTGCATACTAATAATCATAATATTAGAGGTAGTGGTGTGCGAAGAAGTAACAGTTAGATAAAATTAATAATATTTCTACTAATAGTAGTAGTACGAATCTTATTTTATCAGTTGCAATGGTTTCACTAGTCCTGCCGTTTTTTATTAATACCAGTAGACGTGTTTATGTTGATGTAAGTGGTACGGATGTATATCACACAGTGTCAAGAATATGTCGATTACAAACTATGTCCTGACAACATTGATTCACAAAGTGTACAGGAGAGACACCTAGTGGATAACTGCTCCTCATCAAGATTACACTCAGCTAACTGACACCACGAAGCTGTTCAGCAGTACTTGAAACAGACAGCCGATAACAGATAAGCCGAGTCCTACATCCACTCTGCCAAACACAACCACCTACTGAAACAACATCATTCTCAGTTCACGTTGGTTTACATACTCCACCCACATGATACACAGCCTCCATACGATTAACACACACACACAAACACATTCATCACTCTTTTCCATAGACAACATCAAGGTGAATGAACACCTTATTGATCTCTACATATACCTGTAGGCAGTGGTAGTCAATGTTATACAATAAACAACGTGATCATGGCTCTGTATTGACAGCGTGACCTAATAACATTCCACACAGTGATAAACAATTTATCAGTTATTGTTATCTCCTCTGACATTTCAATGATCAATTTGTTGACCAGAAATTGTTTACAAGTAGTAAAGTGAATTAACTACGAAAATGACGGGAAAGAAAGAGGAATTATATTAATGAATCATACGATAATGTGTTGATTAGAAGAAATAAGAGAAAGAGGAGTGTCATTCTGTGTACACAAGTGTGACAAAGAAGTATGATGGCCGGAAAATTGAGATTCTTGCATTGTGACAGCGGAACACTGAGACATCTACTGTCAGTGTTATTCATTTGACAAACTGAAATAATGCGATGACAAATTGTCAGAAGCCTACATTGCTTGTTGCAGTGAACTGATATTCTGCTACCTTGATCCATGCTTCAGACCAGCTCGTAAGTCAGAAGATTTCTAATGAATTCAAACAAGAATAACTGTGGATAACTACACACCAGATTTCATTCAAAAATCTATGCATGAAGACCTCTGTGGAAAATAAGTGCTTCAATGTGAATAATGAAGTTGATAGGGATAATAAGGCATTGAAATTCTCTATGGCTTTTCCATATAAAGATGAAACATGAGAAGACTTAAATGGGGTTCTCATTCAAGCTGGAATTAGGGTGTCCTTCAAAACAAACAACACAATGAGAGACAGACTGTGTCAACTAAGCACCCAATACACGGAATTACGAGACATGCCGTACAATTTATATACCAATTTTCACGCAATCACTGTGAGGTCAATTGCATAATTGAACTTCGAAGATTGTCGGGAGATGTGAATTTCTCTAAGCATGCAATTGTAAGAGCTATTGCGACTTAGAGTAGACCTTAACTCTAAACACCCTTACAAACTTCTTCACCGTTTTACGACCTCAGCTGTACGCTACTCAACGTGCAAATACTGACGAACTGTATCGGGGTAAAAAGACTTGATATGACAAGAGTATCTTGGACAATTATATTTTATTCAACGAAATATGAAATTCAATAAATAAAGAGGTCATACAACTTATCTGTAGACGTCACTGGAGGTAGGCTCGGAGAGTGTGCAGAATGAGAGCACAACGAGAGAGCGAACCAATGAACGTACGGAAGAGTCACAACTCAAAAGATAAAAGTGTTTCAAACATGGGTGAGCGAGTTTAAACAAACGCTCAAAGGTACAATGTGCACTACAGGTTATCCCCCCTTAGAAGGTTGGTGGGAAGCCAGCAAGCTTCGATATACAAAATGAGGACGGCTTGGTACAATAGCAATGAGTGAATGCGAAGGTTTGGATAAAGGAATAGTTAACGGTGGCCTGTTTGACATCTGGGCTACCTTTTTCCTGCATCAACATATTGCATCTAATAAATCATGTTTTCATTCCTAATTTTAATAAAATATGATCGCAAATCGTATAAAATACAGTAATTCATTCATTAAAAGTTTTAAACCATATGACCTTCATGCATCTAATAAAACTAAGAGAAAACATCACGGTGGTTAGCAGCGTGCACTTGAACAGACACCTTTATATCGTACAACCATTCCTGTTATTGTCACTCCAAACTGCCGTTCACTTCCCAACAAAATTATGCATCTTCAGTCTCTCTTATCATCTGATAATAATCACAATACAGCGATCGTTGCAATACAAGAAACATGGCTCCATGAACTCTATGATGACAATCTGGTTTCCCTAAATGGTTTTACATTGTTTAGACAAGATCGACTATGCTCCAGAAAGAAAAGAGGTGGAGGTGTTGCAACTTTCATTCATTCTCAATGGTCAACTTCAAATA